TTAAGTTACACTGATTTGAGTACAACGCTGTCTCTTTCCGCGCCACTTCTATTTGTTGTATATGCACGTGTGTGGTGTCAAATGAAAGGTAATTAATTGTTCTGCATTATTCTTCTAAAGCACAACCAGGTACATAGCATGGTTACAAAAATTTAAAAACTTTAAAAGCTATTTTTTGTCGGGTTATAGAAACTAAAATAATACTTACTTACTCCGCTGGTACAGCGACCCGAAGTGGATCTTGGCCTCCGATGCAACTGCACGCCACACTTCCCTGTTCTGCGCAGTTTGCTTCCAATCAGGCTTTTGGAGTGTAGGTCCTTCAGAATTCCGTCAGTCCAGCGAAATCTAGGTCTTCCGACAGGAACTCCGATACAAGTTAGAGGGTTTGGAGGTCTAAAAATGCATTGAAAAGGCTGGAAAATTTGCGAATCCGAGCGAGACACACTAAAGAGGTGAGACTTAAGATCTTAGGGTGAAAGAAACTACACTGAAAGAGAAAATGGTGGACACAATGATGCGAAATAGATGTAGAAAAAATCACAAAATCCTAGCGGAACAAGATAAAGAGTGGCAGGATAAATACGATAAATTGCACACAAGATGCAAGAATACAATAAGAAATGCAAAAGGACACTTCCTAGAACGCAAAGTTGGAGAAATAAAGACACCAATTGGATCAAGTGAAATTCGTAAATTTTATTAGGAAATAAGATTGGTCAAGAAAGGATACCAGCCCGTCGCTTAGTTTCTTGAAAATGACGAAGGAAATCTCGATTCTGACCCGGAGAAGCTGAAAACTGAACGGTACAAATATTTTAAGGCCCTGCTAAATTGCTTGCTGGTAGTTTTCAGTCTAAATTAGCGAGATATATGTGAAGCGGAAAGCTATTATGCACCTGAAGAATAACAAATGTCCAGGGATTGACGACATGCCGGTAGAACTGTGGAAGTATGGCAGAGGAGCACTACAGTCGCAAATGAGAATATTGATACTCTAGAAGGAAGAAAAACTGCCAAAAGAGTGGAATATGGGAGTTATCTACCCAATTCACAAAAGAAGCTCTTGAAATAAATTCTCCAACTATAATGGTACCTATAGCGCTACTCCTGACTGCCTACAAAGTACTGTCTTCTTGTCTCTCGGATGCTTTTGAAGTGGACACAGGGCTCAAACAAGGAGACGTGCTATCACCTATGTTGTTTAACTTGATGCTCAAATACGTGGTCCTAAAAGTTCGTTGATGGTGTGGAGTTAAACGGAACGCATAAAATAATAGGTTAGATATGCCGACGGCCTGGCCCTAATAGGTAGACGTGCTGCAGACGTAAGAGCAATGGCCAGTACACCGGAGGAAGAAGGAAGAAAAGTAAGTCCCACGGTGACCCATGACAAGACAGAGTACCTCCACATGAGAAGATTCAAGAGCGCCAAGACTAAGAGAAAGAACCTTATAGCCAATGACACCTCCTACAAAGGGGTGAACAAATTTAAGTACGACGAAATCAACATTCGCGTCCAGAATGCCCCAAGGTACTTAGCAGCCCTGCACAATGTGTTGACATCGAAACTTGCAGGATAACAAGGGTTCGTATTTACAAGACCGTCATATGTCCTTACCTTAAGGCCTAATAATGTACGGATGCGAAACATGGACGTTATCCTTGACGGAGTAAGAAAAGCTCTTAATTAGGAAAACACTACGGAAAATCCTGGGACCAACTCAGAATGAGCATGAAACTTTTAGAAATAGAAAAACAGGAGATAGAGAAAATCATCGCCCAACATCATCGGGGAGAGTGAAGCCGATAGGCTGCGCTGGCTGGCTTGGCCACGTCGAGCAGATGGAAGGGGTCGGCCGACGAGCAAGCGTCGTGTCGGACAACCTACGTATAAGTAGATATAGCTGGACTGACGAAATCTTATTTCCTGAAAATTTGCGATTTTCACTTGATCTAATTAGTGTCTTTATTTCTCCAATTTTGCGTTTTATGTGGTGTTTTTTCGCATTTCTTATAGTATTCTTGCATCTTGTGTGCATTTTATCGTACCACTCTTTATCTTGTTCCGCTAGAATTTTGTGATTTCTCCTTTCTTCTACATCTATTTCGCATCATTGTGTCCATCATGTTCTCTTTGAGTGTCATTTATTTCTCCATAAGATCTTAGTCTCACCTCTTTAATGCGTCTCATCGGGTCGTTCGACGAAGAGAGAGAGAACGTGTCTCGGGTCCGGAAATTTCCCAGCCTTTTTCAATGCATTTTTAGACCTCCAAACCCTCTAACCTGTATCGGAGTTCCTGTCGAACGACCTAGATATCGCTGGACTGACCAAATTCTGAAGGACCTGCACTCACTCCAAAAGCCTGATTGGAAGCAAACTGCGCAGAACTCCAAAAGCCTGATGGGAAGTATAGCGTGCAGTTGCATCGGAGGCCAAAATCCACTTTAGGTCGCTGTGTCAGCGTAGTAAGTAAGTATTATTTGAGTTTCTATAACCCCATAAAAAATTGGTTTCAAAGTTCTTTTTTTAATATTAATTCTTTAACTATGCTATGTAGCTGGTTGTGCTTCAGAAGAATAATGCAGAACAATTAATTACCTTATATTTGACACCATACCCGTGCATATACTACAAATAGTAGTGGCGCGGAAAGAGATAGCGTTGTACTCAAATCAGTGTAACTTAAGTTCTCTTTATCCGAACAAGAAAGTGCTTTTAGATTTTTGTAGCTATTGCATTGAACGTTACTTTTCTTCTTTATCATTTTTGTTAAAAATGATTATTTTGAATTCTATAGCCACACAAATAAACTATTTGCTGTTTTTTTTTACATAAAGTCTTTTAATTTCGAAATCATGCTATGTACCTGGTCGTAGTTCAAGACAAATGTGTAGAACAATTAATTAGCTTTCATTTGATACCATGCACATGACAATGTAACTTAAAGTTTTCAAACAATTTGCAGTTTTCTAAATGCGGCGGCCGCCATCTTGATGACGTCATTTCTGCGGGAGACAGGCCCTCATCAGCTTGTCTCCCGGCGGTTTTCTAGAGCTTATGTCATGTTTATTGACATACTAAAATTTGGTACCGGTATGACGATCCGAAGTATTTGGACTAAATTCGGGATTAACTTACGCCGCTACTATGTCTTTTTCTCCTCCATCAATAAGCTAGATCAGTGGAGCATACGCGTAAGCATAACTAAGGAACTAAGTATAAAATAACTAATTGAAAATGTAGGTACCTTATTTTATTACCTGCTTATAAATACATTTCATTAGATGTGATGTATCTATATCTTTTGTCAATGCCTAAATAATGCCTAAAGAATCATGAATAAAATATTTACCGCATTTATTGCCTGCTGTAAAATATGTTTTATAACCCAAAGGTTGCCTGGTAGAGATTGCTACTATAGCAATAAGGCCGCCTTGTTGTACTTTTATTTGTTTCACTGAAAATATTGTCCTGTTTTGTGTTTTTTATATGTGCAATAAAGAATTATATTATTATTATTATTATGTAGGTAATTAAGTAAAACAATAAAATTTACTGGCCAGCTCTTAGATGCTATCACGATGATATAGGGCGACAGAAGAAAATTACTTTTAAAGGAATGCAAGCAAGGACCTCTTAAAACTGTTGTCTTAAAGGTACTCCTGATTTCACAGACCGTAGCCAAGTTATAAAATAACCTGCAAATATTTTAATAGGTGAACCAGTCCATGAAACTGAACCACTTTTCCTAAGGAACATAGGCCGAAATGATGAAAAAGAAAGTTTGGATCTCCTACACAAAATTTACCCGCCAACCTAGTCAATTTGTTTAGGAGGTACATGCACTTGCTTTTCACTCCATAAAATATTTAGAGTCGATTTTTACACTCCACACCACAGAACAGAAATTGCCTTTACTTCCTACTATTTTTAATTTTTTGTGTTGAGCCCTCTCTGTCCCAGCTAGGCCTGTATCCCTGTTTCTGACGTGTTGTTAAGGCCGCTATAGAGCTTTTCACGAAGCCCATACAATTTTCCCTGCCAGACCTCTCGGAGCGTCATTTTGCGAAAAACATGGGGATGTTTGAATATTTTTTACAGTGATATTATGAATAAAAATAAATATATTTTTCTGCAATTAGATTAAATTCATCTTCTTAAATAACATATATTTTTTTTAAATCTTTACTACTGTTATTTTTTCATACAGAAGCCGTTATAATGGCGCATTATTTTGCAAAAAATCGTATATAAAAACGTGGTATTATTCTATATTTCTGAATAAAATTGTAAAATGTTCACTGTAGACTTTGTTCTCAAATATATACTCTATTTTTTTGTATAATTGATATTTTTTTACAGTAAACCAAAACTCTAAAACTCACGCTTGATTTGAGGTCTTTTCCTGAATTTTGGTTTTGTCGCTTTAGATATCGCTGTTTGTAACAGGTTTAAAACTAAAATGTTAATATTTACATTGTACATTTTTTAGATGAAGATATGCTTGATTAAATGTTCAAGTAACATATTATTTTTATATAACGGTTTTCGAGAAACTCGCATGTTTATAAAGCCAATATTTGCAAATTTGCTAGAAAAAATTGAATGCGGTCTTAAACGTATGCATGACAGCACGACCATAACGAAGGGCGCCTAGAAAAACAGGCTCTGAAAAATTGGTTTTGGCCTTGCCACAATATTGACTTGAAATATGATTACGTTGGCAACTATGCACTTTAACGTGCAGAAAAGTCTAGTTTGCGGTACTCAGCTTCTTTTCGAGTGAGACACCGAGTCGTCCGACGACCCGATGAACTCTGGTATCAGAGTTTTTTACTACAAGTAGCAGGCCTCTGATATGGTTGAGTAACGACCACTGTCTAAGTAAGTAATCAAATCATAGACAGCAACCAGGGCCCTCCGAAGCACGGAACCATCTTGCTTTCGGACAATCAAGTGGTACAGCCTGAAATGTTCTAACCAGACTGGTAACAAAACCCACTGGGAATCGAACCCAGAACCTTCTGCGTCGCAGGCAGTCGCACTAGATACCACTGCGCCATATCGGCTGTCAGCGATAATGTCATTTTTAAACGGCATGGAGATGAAATATGTTATTAAATCTATTCAGTAGTTTTGATGATTGTTGTTCGATTAGATAAAACCCCAATGGTTTACTAAGAACATTTACAATCGTGTCATGTGATTTGATAACATCAACATCACAATTATATCTACCAGCGCAGATTCCGTGGTCAACTGCGATTTATCTTTTCTTGGATTCTTGTTCAACACTGAGATTTCCACGTCACTCAAAATTGATAGTGCCAAATATCATCGTTCATATTTAACTGGAGAAGGCAGTGCATACTACCTACCTACATGCTATCCATTTAAAGGAACAACTTATACTGTTTTTTGTAAGTATTTGTATGAAAGACCAGTTTGAGTTGGTTCCTGAAATGGATATGGGGATATGTTGGCGAACTAACACGTGCACCTGCATGTTGGTATGGTAGGTTGTTTATATGAATAGATTAAAGTATTTAGTACTACATGTGATACAAGCACGCACAAGCATTTTAAAAATCTACCTATGCCATTGACACGACAACAAGAAGAAGAGGAAGCGGTAGCAGAAGAGTAGCAGAGTTTCGGACACAAAAATTCAAAAATACAGCTTCTGGTTGATCATAGAAGATAGAAGATTCGTAATTTGAGTTCATAGAAGGGTGTTCTTGATTCAATATTCTACATAATAAAATAATACTGTAGTCAAGTTTTGCCTACTCGAGACTCAAAGCGTCTTACAAAGGAATTTTGTGACAGAATTAGATTGATGATATAATGAATACTGAAATTGCTTAGCGTTTGTACTTACTATTCGTAGGTATAACAACTAACTATAAATGTTTCAGCAACGAACGATATCAATATAATTCTGTGTAAATGTAGAATTTTCTCGAATATATATTGAGGAAGACTTTATTCTCTCCTTACATACAAAACAGCAATACTCTCTAATATTGATCTGATCAGTATAGGTAAACGATTTTATCAAAAGAAATATTTTGCTGTGCAGACAAAGATGTTCATAAAATAATAGCAAAGTATATACTATACATTTTATTCAAACAACTATTTCTCCTCTAAATATTTTTTGTACGAATTAGGAAAATATTAGTAAGGACACTATTTTTAATTATGTAAGTAAGTAAAAGGAAATTTGAAGAACACAAAAAACGCTACCTAGCTTGATCTTCGGGTCAGCAATTTGTAGGAGAAGGGATCAAGTAGAAAGAGCTCGTTTAGGAGGCCTAGGTCTACTTTGGAGCGCTGAGTCTGATATTTTTTTGACATGAATCATATCTAAGCTTTTTGCATTGGCTGATAGAGGCGCGCAGTTTCCTTAATTTGTGCTAATAGGTAGATACTGAACATACAATAGCCGAAACTACAAGAAACAGTACACCCGGCGTCGTCCAGGTGGGAAAATGTTACATTGAGATCCACGTTGGGTCAAAAAAACCCGTATTTATATCATGGTGTATTTTGGAAACTAGTTGAAAATATTCATAAAAATCTTTGTTTATGAATGGTATTATTCATATATTTTGCCTGTAAAATAAAAACAACATCGAAATACAAAAGTAACAGCTTTTATTATCTGTTTTTATAAATCACTCAAAAACTGTAACAAATAAAATAGGTTAACTCTTTTAGACCCTTTAAAGTATGAAAATATAGTATTTTTTTACAATTATTTTAGTAAATACGGCTTAACTTTCTTGGATCTTAATGTAAATAGTACATTTTATAATTATTTTCAGTCCTCAAATTTGCATATGTTGCGTACATCAGAATGATGTGTTGCGGGCAGATAAACTTTTGATATCCATGACAGGTATTGGTGGTCTTTCTGTATTTTTATGCTGGACATTCTAGACACTTCTAGGCGATTCTTCGACGAAATAATTAAAAAGTTGTCACGCTATAATGGCATAAAATGATGACATCGAAAGCCACGTTGGGTCAAATATACCTTTTTGAACTTTGCAGGCGTCTATCTCTCGTAAATGTCACACGATGATTGCGATGCACTGTCTAATGAATAAAACAAAGTCTTATCTCCAGCTACTAAAAAAATCAACATCTGTGTACAACTTATCTTGAAAATACCGGCAAAATAAAAAATGACGGGTCAATTTGACCCAACGTGGATGGCGCCGGGTTAATAAGTAATACTACCAAAACGAATTGAGTCTAAGATAGAATAGGTCTAATCTATTTATTTACGTATGAACAATGAAAAAAATAAAAGAAATATTCAGTAAAAGAATAAACTTACCGTCTGATATAGCAGATGACTCCTTCGATGTAACTTTGTAGCATCCGGGGTTAAATGTTATTATTCTATTCTCCATTATGTTTTCTTAAAACAACTACTAAAATTCTTCTTCACAAAAAACAACAAAGTATTTTAAATAGAATTTCCTAATATGTAAATACGTCTGATTTTTTGCAATACATCGAAGAAGTGAATTTGTATCGATTAGATATATAGCCAAATTTGATTTATCATCCATCACATAACAAAACGAGACTTATTTTCTTGATATCAATAGATAAAACGGATGAGTTAAGTATGTACTTAAAATAAGTTAAAATTCCCCGATAGGTAGGTAGGTATTTTTCCAAAACTTGCAATGTTTTCCAACATAGGCAGGATTTGAACCTGCGACTTTCAAAATTAGTACAGCAAGTCTATGATTGGTAGTACTGGCGGCACCACTTTAATCTTAGCTACCGCGGCTCAACCTTTGCCTGCGAAATTAACCAAGTGTATCTGCCGCCTGAGCCGCGTTTAGAGAACTGAAATTGTTATAAATAGAGAAAATTTTGCATTAGAAATTTTCTCTTTTTTAAGATTGTATTAGAATGAGACTTTCTTTAAGAGAATCTTGTAAAGGCGACTGGGCGAACTTGGGCTATGGCCATAATTTGAGTTCCTTTGATTCAATACAAACGTGGTCACTGTAGTTATGTTATGTAACCTCGTCGTAATAAATATTAAGAATTAAGAAAAAATCCGTCCCGGGAGAGTCGAGAAAAAAAAAATTTTTTTTAGTCCTCGGTTTTTTACAAACATGGTCACCCTAACTCTGACGTGTTGCTTCTCCTTTATACATAATTAAGATAAAATAAAAATCTGCTGTGGCAATTTCAAGAAAAAGCTCAATAACATTTTTCATTGAGATATGGCCTAACTTTTTTTTCTTTGATTCAATACAAACGTGGTCACCCCAGTTCAGATAGGTGATCTATTAGCTACACATGTTTGAGAGAAAAGAAAATTCTGACCCAGCAGTTCCGAGAAAAAAAATAAAAATATTTTTTCTTTGACTCAATACAAACGTGGTCACCCTAGTTAAGATAGGTGACCTATCTGCTATACATGTGTAAGAGAAAATAAAAATCCAACCCGGCAATTTTGAGATAAAAAATAAAAATATGTTTTCTTTCATTCAATACAAATGGGGTCACCTTAGGAAAAATAGGTGACTTCTTATAATATATAAATGCTTAAGAGAAAAAATCTGACCCGGTGGTTCTGAGATATTTTTAATATTTTTCCTTGATTCAATAGAAATGTGATCATCTAGTTACTATAGGTGACCTCTAATCTATACATGATCAAGAGGAAATAAAATCTGGCAGTTTTGAGAATAAAAATATGTATTCCTTGATGTTACTTGTAACGTGGTCACCCTAGTTAGGATATGTCACTTTTTCATTATACAATATGTTGAGAAAATAAAAACCAGCCTTGATAAATCAAAAAATTATAGTTCAAAACAAATGTTCACAAGTGATTTTCTCAATACTCACTGAATTGATTTTGATGCGGTTTTACACGAAAGCATAGATAAAATATCGAAATCTAAATAACGTAACATTATCGATATATCGTCATAGCCCAAGTCCCATACTACCGCCGCCCTGTCTCCTTTCTACGAAGAAATAAATGATTTGATTTGATTTCCACATTAGTGACTTGATTTAAAAAAATAAGATAAATTAGTCATCTTCATCATCAACTCCATGCTAAGTAAATATCTTCCGTGTTTTCCATCCAGTCGCCGTCCACCGCCCTCTGACAATGCTCAAAAGATCCATTTAAGCGGAGGGCGTCCTACGCTACGCTTGTCCAAATAACCTGTTCTTTCAAAATTATACGTATTTATTTTATAAAGAGTCACGCATGGTCAAACTGTTGTTGCTACGACATGAAACAAATACGTTGATAATGATTGATATGAAATCGATAATTAATTAGAAGGATTATCTAATATTATATTAAGTAAATACCTTATAATTATAAATTATGTAGAATCATAACGGTGACCAATCTACCTGTAGTAAAACCGACAGTAGATAACATTTTTGACATTTATGATAATAACGACGTCACAGCAATAGAATTCTATTTGCAATAGATACCTAATCTGCTATCTATTATTTACTAATTTTTCACGGCGTTTGAAAAAACCCTTGATAAATTATCAGTTAAGTAACTTTATGTATGTATAATTAATTACACGAAATAAATAATTCAAAGCTACTTTATGTCTATATCTTTTAAAATTTAAATTATGTGGGTAGGTACTACCTGGTTCAATAAAGAGTGGGTTTACTAATAGCGGCCGCAGGTCATGCTTTCTCATTCGAACTAAGGCTTTTTTAATGTGACCAAGATACACTTACATACACCAGGCGTTCCCCCTCCTACTTACTGAACCGCCGCCATTTATAATCCCATTCTATATTGGACCAGGTAGTATCAATACGTCATTTAATATCTGTTGTTTTCGACTGTCGCATTTTTTGATCCTTAACCATATGAGGAATGTGACATGTTTGAAAACGAAAGTAATCCTTTATTCAATCGAACTTGGATTATCACGTCAGATAAAACCACTCATCATTCATGAAAGCCAAATACCTACCGAGATAAGATACACGTTTATAACTCGGTGACTACATGGGAACCTATTTATTATTCTAAATT